GTTTATTTTGTTTTGTTTTATCAATTTATTGCGGGTTGGTGTAATCACATGGTCTGGAATTGCGTTTTTACACGTAGAAAATCGAGTGTTGACAGGTTGCACGGTTGTGTCCGACCTAGCAAAAATACGATGTTTCATCCGAAATATCGGTTTGTTGTTCAAAAACGGTTTAAGTGGGGACAGTAATGTTATTGTCAACGTCTAGTGATGTCATTTAGCTGCAATTTGATATATAGCTTCAGGGGTCATCCTGGGGGGAAATTTTAGGGAGAAGTGACTTCCTCGCGAAAATTAGGGAGAAGGAAAACAACCCAATGTGTATGCATTAACATGCTTGGCTATACATCCTTTAATTATAATATAAACACAATTAACATCACTTATAATATTTCTCCAGTTTATTAATTAATAGTAGATCTGGCAATGGCATCTAAATGTTTTTGAGCTGCAAATATGAATAAAAACAAATTATTTTTGATATCTATTTATCAGCTATTTATTAGCTTTCTCTAAATATGTGTTTATATATTTTCATGTAGATTTGTTGATAATTATGTGTAAGAAAAGATATGATGATAAAAATAACTTTATATTATTTACTTTCCTCACTTTTAATAATTAATAAAATCTGTTCTGTTCTGTTCTGATATAACAGAATTTTCTTTCAATATCCTTTACCTTGTAATGTCAGATTTATATGATTGTATATAATTATGCTTATAAAACAATTTTCAAACATCAAAGAATATGTAAAATATGTACTGCAAACATTTGTGCACATTATATTTGATCACTAAAATTATATACATTCATTACTTATTGAAAATTTTGACTGAGAAATTATAGGAAATAAATTTCTAATTACCTCCCTTTATTTTCATGAAATGTTAAATTCGGTAATATCTTTATAAATAATGCTTTTTGAAATTTACAATATTGATAAATCTCACTGTCTACAACATACCAATCGCAAGATTTTTGCGAATTGGCTCTCTTAAATTTTCGCGTAGGTGTAACTATCAGAATCAGTAACTTTCTTACTGCTAGGTTTTGGAAATTTCGCCCTGTAGCCATGACGTGAGCGACATAATTTTACAGTAAAAATTGATGTTAACGGACTGAAATGATTCAAAACTATGATCCGGTCGCTGATCATTAATGAAATTGATTATTTTTAATTGACTAACAGTTTTGTGATAGCCGTGAAAAATCCATTGCACATCGCCTTTACTCGGGTTAAAACCCCACCATCGAAGTGCATCGTGTAAATCAATTAGGGAAGATTGCACGTGTTTAGATAATCGGGGAAAAAACAATCTATAATTATCGCCAAATCCCGTATTAAACTCGCAAAACTGTCACACAATTATACCTTTTCGGGCCGATGCTCTCGTTATTTACTGTTTAGAGTAGGCGGTCTATCGCTTTGCTTACAGGTAGAAGGGTAGTATAAAGCTGCTTACAGGTAGAAGGGTAGTATAAAGCGACGCTCTGATTGGATAATGATAATTAGCAGTCGTCATATGGGCGGATACAATCTCTGCTCTTTACATCGCCAATTAATTACTATTTGGGAATTAAGATTTTATCGGCGATGTTGACTTCTCTTTGATCAATCGGGAGAGCGAAATTGGAATATACACGGCGAAGTTTTCGCCTGAATCGCCCTTCCGGATGAGCCCTGAGCTTTATATAATTTACGCAAGAATGACTTTACAATTTTGACTTATACTGGACTAGGGGCATTCGGCCGATTTGGCGAGTTCAACCCCTTGTCTATATATATATATATACAATATATATTTTTTTTTAAAAATTACATTTTTACACTATCCCAACACTGTGCTGGGTCCCTGTGTTTTAAATTCGACATTTTTCCGATGTTACTAAAAATTGAGTAATATCAGAAAAATGTCGAATTTAGAATCGAGACATCTATCAAGGCTCTCGATTGACACGGGGATCCGGGTTTTGACTCGTGAAAATCAGGAAATGCACACATTTGACACGTGATAAAATCTGCTCAAGAGTCAATTTGCCACGTGGGATTTTCAGCTATGCAATAATAATTACCTAAAATCCACACCTAATTACCTATAAAATCCTACACATGTTCAAATCACACTAAAAAAATGTCACCGTGTGTAATACACAGCATTGTTTATAGCCTGTGCACTGAAGCGTGACATCATTGGATGCAATGACAGCGCTAAAAATAGCTCTACACAACTGATAAGAATTACATACTTGAGGTGTCAATTATTGATTGCTTTTAAAGGTTTACAATACGTCTTTGATTTACTTGGAGTGCCTGTACATTTGTTATTTTCCATTAAATATTCCTAGTGCATTTTGGTATTTAAAATTAATATGATATAATCATATATAGCATACCAGTATAGATATTTCTTTACATTGTAAATTTTTAATCCTTAATTTATTCTTTTACAGTAAAGATGCTATTCATTTTTTTTATTTGTTCTTTTTTTTTCTTCTTTTTTTTTTGGGGGGGGGGGGGGGAGGGGGGGGTATACATTAAAACAAGGCATTTTTTCCATGTTAAATATAATCAATTTAGACTTGAGAATCTACCCAAAATGACCTCCAAAACAGTAATTTTTGTAACATAAAAATGATTCATGTAGTCAAATGTTTAAGACGCTAGAAAATAATTATTTGACTCATGAAAATTTTGGCCAAACGCTCATTCTCAATAAAACACAGCATTTGATGTTCCACTGGGTAGCTCTTATACGAAGGTTTTTCTTGAGGTCAAAATGTCGTTAGAAAGGTGGCTGCCACTTTGTCTAATAGGGACACTCTCAGTTTTACATTTCTATCTGTTATTTTTCTTTTACAAGTACCATTAATGCCCTAAAATGAAACATACGTTACTGTCGCCACCTAGAATTTTCAACTTTGAAATTATGTTTCAGAAAAATAAGTTCCAGAATAAACGAAACATGTGCAATTAGTCATTGCTGTGTGTATATGAACTTTGATTATTGGTAAAAATTATATTTGACTGTTAAAATCGCATTGGTATAATGGATGATCAAATGTCGCCAAATGCATATAAATAAATAGTGACAAACCTAAAACATTAAGAAGTGAAACCCAAATTACATAATTGAATCGATGCATGCTTAATAATACAGCATATATATGATTATAAATAAAAATAAGCTTGCAGCCTCTCAAATATCATTCTATTTTCGGAAATTTTCATTTTTTATTCAAATCTATTCAACAGCACTTTAAAAAGAAACATACGTTACCATTATTTAAGAGCCAATCCATTCAAAGAAGATTCCAAACAAGAAAGAAAATTAACATGTGTGTAACTCTGATATATTAACCATAAATTATGACGGCTTAAACGGTCTTGCGTCATTTTTTAACCCACTTTCAATGTAAAAATGAAACATACGTTACAGAAACATACGTTATCAACTTTTTAAAGTAAGTTTATCAAAAGGAAAATTGAAGACAGAAAGCACGTATAACAGCAACATTAACTTCTATTTGACATTAGTAAGTAAATTTTGTTAACTTTGGTCGAGTTTTTACTTGTTTAAGTAACCACAGTGAAACAAACGTTACTTTTATCAAACAGACTTAATATTGTTTACACATGCATATATAAAAACATAAAATCGCATTTTATGACAATAGAATGATGTGCATTTGATTCCTAAATAAAAAAGTCGATTTTACATGTAAGTTTAAATTCCGTGATAAAGTTCATAAATAAGCGAGTGTGAAACATACGTTACGATCCAACTTACAATTCAACAATTTTTGAAAATTAAAGATAAAGTTGGGATTAGCATGCCTGTTAGTAACGGTTACCTTGTATTAGTTGTAAGAAGACACAAAATTGTTTACAAAGGAAAGATATGTTAATAATATGTTGATGTACCAGCAGAAATGTTGAAAATATATTACAAGATATTGATGTTCTCAGCAACAACTAATTCGTTTCTGCAAAGAGCTTACTGGCCGTATTTCATTCTATATATAATAATGTTAAAATAATATCCATAAATATAAATTATTTTACAAAAAATAAAATTGTTTTCTCAACCTTTACTTGCATTTGAATAAAATGAAACATACGTGACATCCTATATGGGGATAAATATCGAACTGCTTAGTACTAAATTTTCCAAATATTAAGAAAGTGGAAAGTTGAATGTTTTGAAAAAAAAATGCTCATACAAAATTTGTGTATGCATTCGACCTCTTATATATTATATATGATATATATCCTTTGAATGAAGACATAAAATAATCATTTCCAAAATTGACTATTTTTGCTTTCTACGAATATTTAACTTTGAAGAAACTGACTGAAAATTAGCAAGGTACCCAACTTCTTTGAATTTTCCTGGGTTAGAAAGTCCCTCTAGATAGAGAATTTACAGATTTGGATATATTTTACAGACATTTGTTATAAATATGCAGCCAATATGTTACATTATTAGATCTGAAATCTACGTTACCGAAGAAATACAGTGTCATTACCGAAAGAAATGCCATCCTGTTATATCATAGTTTCTTGTTCAAAATATTTCTGGCAAACTTGCAAAATACCCTAAACTTTTACTTCAGCGATAAAAAATGACACAATGACAACATCAAATTTTTAATATTTTTCAACCTCAAATGCTTTATTTTATTGAGAATGGGCGCAAAGAGTCTTAGACTCGTGAAATTCTGACCCTACTGAGAGCCCTGATCTATGTTAAAAAATCGTTACATTCAATCAAATTTGAGTCCTACAAACCCTTCAAAAGGCTTTTTATCCCGAAACCAAGTGCCTATGAGTAAGCCTTACGACATGTCCAATATGGCGGCCATATAATCATAAGTTTATCGAAGTTTACGTTTATCATATTTATGTATCGATTTTTTTAGGGGAATTTTGTTAACATTTCATTTCAGTATGAAATAATTTAGACTCTACTTAATGGTCATAAAAATTTAAAGGTTCTTACCGCTGTTGCTTCGAAATTTGAGAAAATATTATCCTGGACTACAGGGCTGCCTTCGATTGCCTAACCCGTGTAACAGTAATAAGCACAAAAACTGGCTCATTTGAAACGATAACGGTGTCGCTACCGGAAAAGCTCATATGCGCATGCGTACCTATAAATAGTATTCCTCAATGCCGTTGACCCGTATTTTCAATCTCCACACAGTGATCTCCCCTTAATTCTTCGTACAATTCTGCCAAGGGAGGTAATCACTGTGAGGAGTTTGCCGTATTTTCGGGTTTTATTAATAGTAAATGGAAGACTAATAAAGTTTCCTCTTAAAAGGAAAGGCTTGCTCAGTTTTGCCATCATCCCATCCCCAAAAAAAAATTTCTGTTTCAATTTATTATCACAATTTTTTTGAATTACGGTATTTGTATATCAAAAAGGGTTTATTTAGTTTTTTTTTTTTTCTCGAAAAAAAAAACACTTTTTAAGGGATAGGTAGGGTAAGCCCAAGACTGGACGAGCACCTGTGCCCATTTGTTTGAGCACCAGTGTTATGCGTGCAAAATTGGACCAAAGAGGGACCAGAAGTCCACTGATTATAACTGAACGGGAACATGCTGACGATAACAGTAGCAACTTTTATTGTAAAGCATGTATCAACTATGTTACATGATGGCACGTCGTAAGGTTAATGATATGCATGGGCTATTTTTAGATAACCTCACCAAGACGTTTAAACTCGGTCAGTATATCTAAATATAACTTGATCATGCACTAATATTCTGCGTGATTCGGTCACGATCTTTAGGTAAGCAGGACTGCCCTTTGGAGACGGAATACTAATACAGTAACCATTCTCTATTGTATAAAACTAATAAAGACAAAAACCAATTATTTTTGCGTCTTGAAAAAAGGATTTAAACGGAACAATGTAAAAATAGAAATCCTATTTATATAAACAAACTGGGATTACCGAAGTTACTAAAATAGCTTAGATTTCCGTAATATTACTTCGTCTGATTCCGCAGTATGACGAAATCGCCCGAATTGTCACGATTGCAATCGGAACTACCTCGGCTATTATCATTAATCCGAAGAGTGACGGAAAGGGCCGAAAAGTTGCGATTGGCACGATTGAAGCTGGTTTCGCGTTCAATCATGCACTTACAAATGTAAGCAGGAAACCACCTAACCGGAACAACTTTTCCAAAACAATGGCTTGCAGCCGTGGCTGCAAGCCAAAAACACCAACAGTGACTGGGACAATTTCTTAAATATGAAAATTCATGCGAAAAATCAGCCTCGGCCAATAGAATTTTACGCAAAAATTTATATCACAAATTCTGTCATATCTTTTGATTTTGCCAATGGATTTTCTTCAAATTCAGGTCCTCTCAATTTGATGTTACCGGCTAATGTCATTTAGTTATTTTTATGAAAGAATAAGTCCTTATTGCTTTAATATTGTAATATAAACACCATTTATTTTAATGAGAGCATGAATTTTTGGGTTAAACTACAAGTAATCACAATTAAATGTGCTTTTTTCATAACTTTTTCTTTCAATATTACAATAAAACTTACTGATTATGACTTTTACCTATATACCATGGTAAATAAAGTAAAGTACCAAGATATATACCCTACATTGTTTGCTTAAGATATCAATAAAGACAAACAGAGGTAATCTTAAGTTTAGCAAAGAGGTTACCATATCGCCATGGGCTATGTCTTCTGACAAGGTAAGATTAGCCAACTCTCACACAAATAAGGCTAAAAAATGATAGCACATACTGTATCCCACTTAAAATCATTGAGAAGTCTTAAAATAGTCAAAATTAGAGAAATTTTCTCCTGATATATACATCAAAATATCTGCCAAATATTACCCAAGCATTGGGAGTGTTGCCAGAAATAGCTGAAGTTTCAAACTAGACATACGTTTTTACCTTCTCAACTTGTCCTGACAAATCTGCTGCCAAACTGAGCTGAAGGAGTTCTTCCATAGATCTTAACCAGTATAAGGTAAGGCCCTGTACTCAAACCCTGGCTTTGGTAACTGCATGGTCTGAAAAAATATGCAACACTAATACATGTCGAAGGAAATTATAAGACAGTAGCGTAGCCGGGCATACGCCAGTACGCCGTAGGCGTACTAAACGAAAATGAATTTCAAAAAATCAAAAAGTCTTTAATGTTGAAAACAGTTGTCCAAATCAGTACCCTAACCCGTGTTAGGCATCGCCGTGAGTTTTGACGGAGAAAAAAGGATTTGCTGACAAAAAAAAATTGTTATTAAGCGATTTAAATAGTGTATCGGTATTTTTGTTGCAAGTGTAGAACAGCTAGTACTATTTTAAGTAAGACAGTGTCATGCGTATTGACTTTATAGTATCTTATCGTAGAATCTTATTATATTCCGAATGTTGTTTACATAAGAAGTTATACTAGCGGGAAAAATCAAATGGCGTCCCAATGTGAAACGTCCGAAGAACATGAGCCTTCTTACGTAGATATTTTCAACTGCACCGTTTTAAACGATGGACAGAAAGTCACTTTATTAAAGTCAGATTGGCCTGATGTCCATAAATATGCATTTAAATCGAGGCAAGTTTATGCAGATCAAGAAATTTAAAGTAGGTAAAATAATGCAATTTGTCATTAAATCCTATTCAAATGTATTTTTTCTATCAAATTACATCAACTATTATTCTATTTTATTTTTAACTAGATCTATAATAAAACTGAAATAAAGAGTCATTTTTAAACGTTGTTTAGGGCGTACGGACGAAGCTACCTTTACCAGGGAAGTGAGGAAGTGGGTTAAATGGTGGAGACAAGCTCCTGATACACTTCTAGGAACATTACCACTGGCTAGTGAGCAGTACTATCCCAAAGTCCGTCGTTGTTTGTTAGTACTGATCACCATGCCAGTGTCTACGGCTACAGCTGAACGATCATTCAGCACCATATGAAGAGATCTACCATGACTACAGAACGGCTGTTTGGGCTTGGCTTAATGAATATTTACAGAGACATGAAAATTTACTATGAGTATATAGTTGATAAATTTGCTGAAAACAACGCCACCTTGAATTTGTCTTCAGGGAAAAGCCATCTCGGTATAGATATCATCATGAAATTTATCACCGTGGCGATTTTGCGACTCCGCAAAAATGTTATTGCACTGGCATAATTATATTTTGACAAGACATCATTTGCGTTACATAAACATAACGCTAAGACGCGCCAAATGTTAGAGTTATACTAAAGGCGCTTCAATGAAAAATGTTTCTTTATCACTTCAAACGGTCTTTGTTTTTGGTATGTGATAAATAAAATATTAAATGCGTGTAAGTTTATTACTAAATTTATTGAACGAGTTGAATAAAATGATATTATATGCTCGCCAGAGGCTCACATAGTATCATTTTATTCAACTCGCTAAATAAATTCAGTATTAAACTTATACACTCTTTCAATATCCTTTATTAGTAAGATAAGAAGGGAATTAAATATATTGTCAAATGTCTCCAGATTGCGTTACTTTGCATCTATAAATCCAAATTTTCTCGGGGGAAGACCCCCGAACCCCCTACCATTTACAAAGGGAGGGGGCAACCACCTCCCTTAACCCGTCAGAGGCTCACATAATATATCATTTTAATAAATTAAATTAAGTATTAAACTTACACTCTTTCAATATCCACTATTTTATTACATAAGAAGGGAATTAAATATATTGTCAAATGTCTCCAGATTGCGTTATTTTGCATCTATAAATCCGAATTTTCTCGGGGGAAGACCCCCAAACCCCAAATCATGCAAAGTTTCATCCATATCCATCAACCAGTTCCCATTTTTCAAATTTCTCCTCTTGGTGACGGCCTGGTGAATTTTCGTGTTCTTTGTTCTATAGTAAATCAGTCACATTTGAGGCTTAATTCTGGATTCCAACTGTTCTTGATGAATTATATACTGTCTTCAACTTTAAACATCAACACTATTTAAGTCAAATGAGGCCCAAAATATAATAGGTTAGCCATCTACTTTTTTCAGAAATCTTCACTCTGTTGTAACACAGTTTAAATTCACCACTTTGAAAACTCCTGACTGCTGGTGGGTGGTACATCTTTAATCCTTCGCGCAACAAATGAGTTCCTGGAGAATACACAAAAAACAACTTTTAAACACATCATATAACACACAAAAACTACACACATGCAATGAATACACTTTAATTATGACCAATCTAACTAGAGATGACTTAAATTGGGCCACTTCAAAATTTTAAAGAACTACTTTCTAGACTACAACGGGCTGGGTCTAATTCCGTACCGGGTTGAGACCATCGTATCGATTTATTCAGGGAATAATACATACATGTATGTCAGCTGACTACGGGTCAAAATTACTTGAATTTACTAAATAATATTACTAAATACATTAAGTTGGACCACTCACAACCGTCAGTAGCATCTAATACACACGAGATTCGAGTTTCAAACATTTACACGGTCTTTCAATCGCTTTCTACGCCATTAGGCATCTTGTGTGAAACGTTGCGGTTTTCGTTGCTATTGGCCAATCAGAAGACTCGTTACAAAATATCGAACAGCTGATTGACAATGGCGTAGAAAGTAATCTAAAGACCGTGGAAAGGTTTGAAATTCGAATTTTGCGTGTATCAGATGCCAGGTACCAACTTAATGACGTGACGTCGTACATGACGTCACGTTTATTATCATTTGGCGCGCTTTTCATTTAGTATTAGGTTTAAAGTCTTTTTAAAACGTTTCTTTGCATATAATTAAAAGAAAATTTGTTTAGTTTAGTGTTAGATCGAAAAATATTTCACCTTGTGAACACCAAAAGTTCATATTTCACTCGTGGCTGCACCACTCGTGAAATATATCTTTTGGTGCTCACTCGGTGAAATATATTCCGATCTTACACTGAACTAAACAAATATCCTCTATATATTTATGTGTTTAATATGTTTAGTACGAATTCTTATGGTAGTAATTTATAAAAATAAGTGTCGGCGAAAACTTGATGCTTTTTTGGAGAGTCCAATCAATCGCACGAGCTATCATTCACAACTGGACATGACGCCAC